CACGTGCAATGATAGCACTGTGATCTAAAATCTGGCGATATTCCGGTTAGCATAAGAGATGACACAACCTGTGTTTAATGAAGATATCAATTCGCAGAACATGTCAGCTTTATAAAACGAATGTTGGTATGAAGTTCGCACGGATTTTAATACCCCCTTTGCACCTTGCGAAATTAAATATGGAGATAACCTTTCTATCGAGTTGAAGCAGCAGACCATTGATATCTCGCAATCTATCAACTACGATGTCTCCAGAAACTTATTACCATTATCCTAAACAAAATGTAATATCAATCAATAACTATCAAACATACCAAAATATCACCGAACTCGATCACAGCGAACGATGGAAGCAAGACACACACCATCGCCCCTCCATCTCCACGAGCTGATCAAAAGTCGCATATCCGCTCGCAATGGCTTCACTTACTAAGCACAACTGGAGGTCTGCGCCATCCTATTTTTTTGGGCGTATTGTTAACTTCATTGCTTACTTGTATATGTGCTATCCTAGTCCATACACCTCACGTGATTCGTGATTCCAATACACTCCGTCATGCATCAGACATTTGTACAAAATACTGTGCACATTTGGCGAGAGAAGTAGGGTTTAGTGTTTTGGAATTGGAACTGTCAATCTGAGTCATTATAATAAAAGTTCATACAACTGATACAAGTGACAGGAATGACACAAAAATGTGTCATCATGTTTACAAATACACATAACATTCGCCAAAGTAGCTTGTCTATCCTCCCTCCCACAGGGGAACAATGAAAGTTTGTAAATGAAGATGCTGGCCCAGAATATTTATATATGTACCAATTTTACAATCGGAATCGTGTTATGTAGCCCAATTTAAACCTCGAGCGTGCATAAAGTAATATGATCTTTTAGTCCTGACACATAGTTTCATGATATGCTGGGCACACCGTGCTAACACTCGTGTGTAACGCTTTATGTCGTAATTTCTTATTTGCCAACTTTGATTGAATGATTCTTACAGCTTGTAAAACCTGGACATCAGTTAATAAAGTACATACTTACTTTCACCGCTAGCCCACTTATCGCCGGATTCGCTTGTTCGTCGTCACTTTGGGATATAATCGCTGACTACATTAGCACTGGCAGCTGCAGTAACGACGACCATGTAAGTAGCGAGTGGGCGTTTTTAAGTGCATATCCTTCGTATTCGCGCACTGATTGAATAACATGACTCGTGTTCAGCAATTAAGACGAGTCAAATGGTGCATTTTGAAAAGAATGAAGGGAAGAACAGGCCCAATTGCCACGTCAGTAATTCGGAAACAAATATATATACAAACATGTGTAACTGTATTATCGACTACAGTTGGTTTAGGTTCACAGTGTACTTGCATGAAGGGACGAACTCTCTCAGAGCCCCATAGTTTATTTAGTGTGTAAGATATATATCTAACAATACCACCACAAGCTTATACGTGTACCTCGACAAAGCTTGAGTGATATGTGTTTCAAAGTCGGCATCAAGTTATTGCTTTCCGATATATATGACCCACCAGGGGAACGAGAAAGCAAATAGCGATCACGCCTATACTGCCTAAACTCCTCAAATTAAGAAAAATCGGACAGTATTTGTACATTCCAACAATTTAGCACGGGCAGCCCAAGTAATTTTCCGATGGAGGATACTGAGTTTCGGACAGCAGTAACTTAGGGGCCGTGCCGTACAATTTAGACTCGAGGCTTTCGAATATCCAATTCGTGCTCTATATAGGGGTAGCAAATAAGATACAACGCACGAGGTCAGAAAATGTGTGTAGTGTCGCTCACTCCGTCTGAAGTGATTTTGGAGCTTTGACTTGGGCATGTTTAGAGCTGTCATAACTAGCAGCTGATTGTATACCGACAAATAAAACAAATAGGTCATGAAGAAATAAATAGAAAATGAAAGTACAGTACATCTCATTCGTTATTAATCAATTCCTCAATATTCGACTTTGGTACACACCTTGTTGAGACTGCAGACAGGCCTGGAATATGCAATAGATACAATCCAGGATAAAATCGAGCACATCGGGAATGTCTGTAAGGAGGAAGTAGTGGAGTGTCGGATACATTATTTTGAACTTTTATTTGAGACATTAAAAAGGTCATTGGCGATGTCACGGCAGAAAATCCAAAGACGGAGCGTTCACATGTGCATTGGTTATCGCTATCTAGCAAGAGTAGACAAAGTGTAGAGCCAATTAATGAATTTACATACCAACAAAGAAGGAGAGGATGCATCGAATCCACGAGGTTATGCACGCGCACCAGATCATGCAGTTCTCTAGCCACGTGTTCTGAATACGGTACGCCTGCTGCATCAACGAACGATTGGCTCCGATAGCACACCAGAAGCACCAGCAGACTTCCACACACAGACAGAATTGAGGGCAAGGGTCGGTGACCTTGTTACAGTGTTCGCCACAGATCTGGCCGGCACAGCACACATAGCGGTTCTCAACATCATCATCTATAAGAAAATTGGTGGTTACACAAATAAGGTCGTTTTCTTGCCAGAACAAAATCGCACAGAAGACAAACAGACTGATTACGACCAACGATTAGACTGGACTGGGTTGAGGGACAATATCGAGTCAGACGATGAACAATCGTTGGGGGTCACTCGCAGCCACCGATTGTACGCATCCTTCTTTTAATAGAGACAAGTTCTCAAAATGCTACAAGCATTTTACAGTTGTGCGAGCACGGGTAACAATACCGCAAGTAAAACCTACACGGGACACTTGAGATATGGTCTTGCAGCTGAGCATGCAAGGACTGTTAATTGATACCATACCTAATAGCCGGCTTCGCTGCTTATATGCAAAGCAAGGTGCACAAAAGAAGGCGAAGCAGAATAGCTTGGGCAACTCAAAGCATGTGTTGAGTAGTGGAACGTCCCATGTCTGTTCGAAGTCAGCGAATTCTGTTGCGTTGGAAGTAGGAATATGGTTAGTCTCGGAAATTGCTGTACATATATATTCACACGCCAGATTCAGGAACAAAATACCATCTGCAGAGCTATTATATCGGGAACAACCAATTTTAGACTATGCAGAGCTTATCTATCCTGCATAAGGAGTAGGTCGGAAATGTACACGCAAATTTCGAATATCTGTGCGTCCACAAGGTGTAACATGATACGTTTTGCTCTCGACCTCGAGCAAGTGTTAAAATGATCAGCAGCTCATAAAAACTCGACACGAACAAATGTAAATATAAGACGATCTTCGCTAGCCTATAGCTATGGACGACAAAATCAACAGCGTGTACTAGAACATGTAAGATTTGCACTTCTTCAATTAGAGACATTAGTGACATATTAAACAATCAAACACGCATATATTTGTAGAAAATTATTTTTTTTTAAATCTGTACTATTATAGATAGGACTCGTTTTGCAAATACCCGTATAAACACGTAATGTACGTGTGTACACAAAACATGAACACGCACGCGCACACCCACATATAAAGAAGTGTTTGAATTTGAAC